GTATTGTAAATTCTTGGGGTGTGACATGGCAGTTGGTACAAGTGCCACTATGTTACACCGACCACCAAGTCTGTTATTGAAATACATGTTGGACAAATATATTAAGGCACTGTGAAATACATGCCGGAAAAGTATGGAGGCATTCGCAGGGGGACGATGTCTTGAGACAACCAACTATACGGGGATGCCAACACGTTTGTTCCGAAAAATGCTCTCTTCTTAAATATACAGGCCGCCCCGCCCACATGAGGGTCCATAAAAAGCTCTCTTCTTGTGGTATTAGATATTCTGTTTCTTTTTTTTTAAATAATTAAAAAACCGAATTTATCAATGGTAAGTAGAGTTATCATCATTGAAATGAATCCATTGACATGAATCACGGGCAGAAAGAACGATTTTCTGCTTCAAAACTCATAAGCTTCCATAGTAAGATAATAAAATAATTTTTTTTAGAAATTAAAGAGGCTTAATTCTAAGCCAGTTTTCTATAGCATGTGTATCTGTACACTTCTTTCCTATCCAGCTCGTTTTCTGCATCCCGTTTCGGTTTCAACTTTTTTCTCTATTTACATTTTCAAACTCAAGAACCCCTTTTCACTCAATAGTGAACACACTTTCACGTGTAAGATCCAAGAACCCTTAAAAATCCTGACACTTCGTTGAGATTCTGGAGGGCTTTTTCTACTTTGGGATCCGATTCGTGGCCCTCGATATCGAGCAAGAACACGTAATCAAAGTACCCGACACGGTGTTCCTCGTTCTTCACTACTCTGATGGGTCGGCTCCGGTTCGGCCTGTGATCGACCCGAGTCACGGGAATATCCCGAGTCTCGAATATCAAAAGCGCCCGAGCAAGATCAGAGACCCCGTTTTCAAGAGAAAACGCGATGGTCGTTTTGCAGGACGAATTTCCCGATGAACTGGTAGGAAAAGTCGCCGGACTCAGGGCGAGATGGAAGAACCGGTTAAAATTTCCATTCCTTTCTTGAAGGTTTTGTTCAAGAATTTGAAGGCCAAATTCTTTAGCCGCTATCTGGGATCCTATCACTGCTGTATCGGTAATGGAGTTTTCTGATAGGATTTTGGCCGCTTCAGCTGAGTTTGAGACCTCTTCGATCTCTAGCCCTAAGGCTTCAAGCCTCGTTTTGCAGTGGCTTATAGCTTGAGGATGGCTCACTATCCTTTTGATACTGGTCTTTTCGCAACCTTTAATGGCTAAGAGGCAGTGATTTACAGGAAAGATGGACTCTCCAACTATGCTCGCATTGTGCCTTACGAGAAGATCAAAGTTACGCCCGATCTGACCGTCGATTGAGTTTTCAACGGGTATGATTGCACGATCCGCTGTTTTCTCCTCTAACGCCTTGAAGGCCTCCTCCATTTGATTGCAAGGCAAAGCGTTGCAGAAAGTATAAGATTTCATGGCAGCTTCTTGGCAATAAGAGCCACGAACTCCTTGGTAAGCGACGCGTACGGGACGGCCGGAAAAATCGTTTCCGGCGCCGGATTTTTGCTGGAAAAGGCGTTCCAGGTCCCTCACTGTGAGGTCCAGATCTAGACGGAAAAAGTCCTCTTTGGAGGGAGAGAAGCCGGAGAAGCTCCGTTTCTTCTCTTTCAAGCCATTATCAGAGGCCCTGATGGATATTCTGGCTGGTTTCACTTCGCCGGAATATCCAGAGCGTGAAATTTTCGGCACCAGAGGGTTCGAAGCTCTGAGCGCCATGACGGAAAGACAAATGAACTGACAGGAGTAGCTATGGCCGGAATTTCCTAGTTTGAGAGAGATTTAGTGGCAGAAATATAGACGTTTTGACAGAAGCGGATCGCAAAAATCGCCGGATAATGAAATGCACAGAGACCAGAACCTCTGGCATGAGTTGTCAAGCGCAGGGTTCCGATATTTAAATAACGTCCGCAGCGTAGACGGGAGGGGTGGTTGGTGGGGGCGGCATGTTATGACCGGTTCCGCGCATACCGTTCACTCTCTCTAACACGCGGTGATTTTTTTAGGAACTTTTTGTTAGAAATAATTTTCATTTCCTTTTTTTTTTTAAACTACTAATAAGATTTCATCGAGAGATTTGGTAAGCCTATTAGTAGCTGAGAAGCCGTCCAATCGATTCTGTAATATAATTTTAGTATGGTTCTTTACAAAATTTAAATCATATAAAATTAATGCACTTAATAAAAATATTTAAAAATAAATTGTAAGCAATAAATTAATCAAAATTCCTTTAAAAGTTTTGTAGATATTTTAGTTTATTTATTTTTTACAAATTATTGTTTTGATATTTTTAATAGATTTTTTTATTTTATAAAATAAAATTTTAAAAATTCAAATAATTTAAATATGAAAAAAATTAGAATTAAAATACTAAATCACCCATATTAATTTGTTTTCTATATCATTTTTATTCTCTCCCTTTGGTTAATATTAGCTTTTCTTTATAATAACTAATTGTGTCATTTGTTTCTTATGGTAGGTGTGTATTATGCTTATCCTACATTTGATTTTCAACTTCTCATGCCCCTTTCTCTCTCTAAATTTTACTCTCTCTCTCTCTAATTGCACTTTTGCGGGTCACGAATTTCCACGAAAGCACGCCGGATTCCTTCATAGCAGCTCATTCCAACAGGGTCCACATCTAAACTGACAAACCCATCCGTACATATCCACACTGCGCGCGGGCTTTGTATTATTAATCCACACCAAAATGAAACCAATTAATTACAGGGAGATAAACCCTATCCTTTTCGCCTATCTATGCCATGATCATAAAATTACAAGGAGATAATCCTTATCCATTTCACTTATCTATGAGATTATCACAAAATTACTAGGAGATAATCCTTATCCTTTTCGGAAAATCTTTCATCCTAACTAAATGGTGTTCTTAATTAGAGATTTTGAGGGGCAGGAACCCAGTTAGTCTAATATAGGAGGATATACGGGGGATTACCAGTTTTGTTGGAGCTTTGTCGTGTATAAGGGGCATTTCAATCTAAGGGTGATGGAGATGATAACGTGGCAAGACCTTGTCCGGTAGATTGATGTGTCATAGCGTTAGTCTTTGACAAAGAGGGGGTAGGTTTGGTGTGTAAGATGGGTTAGGTGAGCACAATTTTGTTGATGCACCATTTGTGTTATTTTAGTGGACCTCAACTTTTGGTAATCCACCGTTGTTTGGTCAATTTAATATTTTAGTATTATCTTATCAGGTTTTGATTCTTCCACCCAAAATACATGACTTCCACCTCATAGCCGGGGTTAGTTTCTTCGCAATTCTAAAGATAGACACGTGGCATGGATCCACTTGACATTATTGATGGATAAAATGACCACCAAAGTGGTTTCCTTTCATACCATAGTATCTTAAAAAGTAAAATAAATGGTCCGAACCTTTGCAATGTGTACCACACATTACTGGTGTGTGGTAGGGATACAATAAAACCGAAGAATCAATTGTAACCACATGTTGACACCGCACATGTATAGTAGAGGTACAACAAGACCCATTAATTTTTTTGGCCCCGAATTTTTTGGAAAGTGAGTGGAGGCATATATTGATCAGGCTCGTTGATACTACCGTCAAGTTGGTGAGTAGGTAGAGACATACACTTATAAAACGGTACTACTGTCAAGTTGGTGAGTGACTGGAGACGGACACTTATAAGGCTCGTTGATACTATTGTAAAGGCCCCCACTTATTTTTGTGAAACGGTTTTTCTTTTATTGTTGTAAAATGCTAATTTTATTACAACAAAACATTGTTTTACTATAGTAAATTGCCAGTTCTCTTTTAAACCTCGACGATCTCTTATATATTGTAAAAATCTCAAAAATCACTACTTCATCACAAGTTATATCAATCATTGCAAAATTTACCGTCAAGCTTAAAGCTTGACGAAAACCCCTGGTCCCAACTTTTACGAAGTGTACCACACACTACAGGCGTATGGTAGAAGTACCATAAGACCCTACAAATTAATTGTAGCCTCGTATTTATCTTAAAATCACGATGATTCACGTGAGTTCCTCAAAACTAAAAGGTTCTCTAGTCGGGAACCATTTTGATCATCGAGTATCTAATTCACCAAACTATACGGGATATTGGTCCTTTCACTTGGGAATGGCAAGGGCTTATTTGGCTCCACGCGTTAACAAACCTAGGTTTTGAATCAAAATCTTTTTATTTCAAGTTTTGGTTATGTTAAAACTTGATTACTTAAGTAATATTTGTTTGGATGGCTTTGAATGATACCGAGGTTATGCAAATCTCAGATTTGGATCATACTTTTTGTGTAATGTATTTTGCTATTGTACACTGCCAGAGAATGCATTAAACTTCAAACTTCGAGACAGTTTTTCTCTAAAAAATTTGAGATAATTTGTTTCTCTAAATAATTAAAATTTGATATACTTTCTCTCTCCAAAATTTTTGACACAATTTCTCTCTTTAAAAATTTGAAATTTTTAATAGTTGATAATTTTTCTCACCAAATTTTTGACACAGTTTCTCTTTTTAAAAATTTGAAAATTTTAATAGTTGACAATTTCTCTCTCCAAAAATTTTGATATAGTTTCTATCTCATTATCCCTCTCCAAAATTTAAAATTTGATATAGTTTCCCCCTCTAAATTTTTGTAGGTAATTTCTCTCTCTAAAATTTGATATAGCTTCACTATCTAAAATTTTAAGATACATTCTCCTTCTAAAACTTGTAATTTGATGTAATTCTCCTTTCTAGATTTTTTGAGATGGTTGTCTCTTAAGAGTTTCATGTTGTTTCTCTATCTAAATTTTGATATATTTTCTCTCTATAAAACTTAAAATTTGATATTGTTTCTCTTTCTAAAAATTTGAGATAGTTTCTCTCAAAATGTTTTTTTGGTGATTTCTCTTCCTAAAATTTTAAGATATTTTATCTATCTAAAACTTAAAATTTGACATAATTCTCTGTCTAAAATTTGATATAATTTCTCTCTCTAAAAGTTTAAGATAATTTATCTCTCTAAAACTTGAAATTTGGTATAGTTTATCTCTAAAAAAATTGAGATAGTTTATCGTTCTAAAAATTTTCAATAGTTTTTCTCTCTAAAATTTGATGTAGTTTCTGTTTTTAAAATTTTGAGATACTTTCTCACTTTAAAATTTAAAATATGAGGTGATTTCTCTCTCTATTTTGTGGGGATGTTTTAGAAGAATTAGTTGTATTTAATAAAGTGGGCAGCTCCTGTGTGTGAAAAATAGTATTATAATTAGTTGTGGGCAGCTCCGGTGTGTGAAAAATAATATTATAATTAGTTGAGCTAATACTATTTTGAAGTACTAAAATTTTGAGATACTCTCTTTCATGCTTACACAAAGCCATATTTTGGATAACCTAATTTTGTTTGGCCCTCTTTGAAAACATGATTATATATCCCAAAATAGTTGCCAAACATGTTTTTATACAAGATACCATGGGTATACAAAATGTGATTTTGGATACCCTAGGATCCAAACGAACGATAATTCTATGCTAAGGATGTATCGGTGGTATTACAACTATAAATCACTTGCGTATAGCAACACTTTTTTTTTTTGGGTAATTCAATAGGGAAGACAAGCTCCTACCCATTTTTAATGGAGGAAATGAAAACCGTAACATAGTAACTAGGATGTGCATGTAGTAACACTTCCGATTAATTAAGTTTTTAGTTAGTATATCCATATCATCTTGACTGAATTAAGATAATAATCAAATATTATATGAGTAATTAGTTTCCAGTGAGGACTATTTTGACTATATATGGCGAGGACAGGGTACAATACTTTTCTTGGAATTCGAAGAACTTTGAGCGCAAAATTTTAGTCTTTCCTTTATTTGGAAAAATTAGGTGCCTATGCCGTGATACTTTTGAGGTATTACGGCTACATTTGCGGTATTACAATGTGGTCAAAATTTTCCGCATGGATTCCTACTTTTCTCAATTTTTCCCTTCCATCCCACATTTGCAACAAGGCATTACATTTTTCTCTGGTTAGGCAGTTATTTCATGCAATGGTTGTATCATAGTATGATGTTATAATTTTCAAAAATTATGTTAGTACTATTTGATTGATCCAAATTTTAAAATATGAACTCTTTTTATTCTAATGAACAATCACAAAAAATGAAAATTCAAAAATGCAACCTTGACAGTATTTTTTAGCCCAATTAACATAGGTTGTATATTTTGATAAGATGCTTAGATCTAGGCCTTAGAAGGATTTTTTCTTTTCCAAAATTTTTAGATAGCTTTATATCATTAGATAAACAATGTTAAAGAAGAAAAAAATGATTTTGAGTTAGTAAAGACTAAGATCTTGAAATTCACCAAATGAATGGTCTAGATTCATTGTTGGAGGGGGACTCATTTTGACTATATCTAGAGTTCAAATCGAACATATTCTATATTGAGATTGATTATTGAGACGAAGAGAGTGTGTGAGTAAAATTTTGGGTCATACAAATACCACAAATATGGTTTTCTAGAAATGTGATTGCATTATATTATGATACAACTGTTGCATTAGATCATTGCCCTATTTATTTTTAATAGTCAGTAGGTTATATCATGGGGAAATATATTAGGGTTGATCTTTTATGGTGGAGAGATATGCTACGGTCGATCTGATATTTTGAACATTGAACTGACTTAAAACTTCATTTTGGCATTGTGTAGTATGCTAATGTCATA